TATAATCACTTGCTCTTGTAAGAGCACCCTGCTACACTTTCTGGAGTAGGAGAAGTCTGCCTACTAGAAGCTGGATCCTGGTCTTTGGTCCAGGGTGGGTGAAGGACAGCGAGACCCCAGCCAAGCTGTAACGCTGGATGTGGGGACTACAGTGCTGATGGTGTCTGGTGGAGTGCTTGGAGTACTCGGTGAGCACTAGGAGCATTGATTGACGGAGGCACCCAGTCGGGGTGCCAGGCGGTCCATCACATCTGGTTGGCAGCGGTGGGATGGCTTCCTAATGCGAGGAGAAGCATTCTGGATACACCAGTATTGTGTGGATTACATTAAGGGCAACGCTAGTACCCGTACAACGGACCTGGCTACAGCAGTATGGAACCAGCTAGTTTCCTATACGAGGAGGAGAATGACCCGAACTGGAAGGATGCATTCCGGAAAGACACCTGGTATGAGACCCTGGAGGGCGTACAGTGTCGGAGGAGCAAGAGTCTCCCCAGTGAGGAGCAGCGGCTACAGATGCATGTGGCGATGCAAATGCCTCTCCTGGGAGAGCAGCTCCTGGATAAGTGGGTGACAGAACTAGAGAGCCTGGTATGGAAGGAGCTTTGACTAGACGATGCCTACCTGGCCCTATGGTGGTATACGGTTCGGCATACCCCCTGGATGGCTGAACACGACAGCACCCGAGGGTGAGAATTATGATGGCCCTGGCCTGTTGTGGGAGGCCTTTGCAGAACCAGAGTTCGGGAGTGTTGAAGAGTCATGATTTTGGGACATTTATGACTACAGGGAGGGCATGCATGATTGGGCTGACGCCAACGAGGTGAGACGAGACCTGTTATCTCTGGTAACAATGGAGTGGGAGCTGGAGCAGGACTACCAACACCTGCTCAGCTCAATTCGGCGCCAATCTACCCTGCAGGCAGAACAGGAGAGCTGGATGGCAGACCCAGACCTGCCACCCTACTGCTGTGAAGACCTGGCTGAGGTAACCCCTGCTTCACTACCAACTACAGAAGTAGGGGACCTCATAGACTGGTCCTGGGAAGACTCCCAGGTGGCAGATGGAGATGGGACCGAGGTCTCTCCACCGGCCTTACAGGGATGCTGGGCAGCTGGCCCAGATCCCAACTACAACCGGAGTTACCAAGACAGTCGGTCTTACTCCCCAGCGTCAGTGTACAATGCAGGGAGAGGAGACAACCGGTCTCTCTCCCCAGCAGTAGTCGGAGTTACAGGGGGAGGAGATGATCGGTCCCTCTAACCTACAGCAGAAAGCATCCTGGGGAGTGGAGGCAACCGGCCTCACCCTCCAACAGCAGCCGGAAATACCGGGAGAGGAGACAACTGGTGCCTCTCCTCAACTACAGGGGGACAGCACCCCTGACCCTAATGGTGCAGACAGGGCCGGCCTTAGGCAATTAGGCGCCCTGTGCAAAAAGTCTTCACGGCGCCCCCCCCACCTCCCACCAAGTTGCCTGAATACAGTAACACACACAGGCACCGGGGACGTGTGTATCACGAGGCAAACAAGGCATCTGCCTTGGGCGCCACTTTGCAGGGGGCGGCAAAAAAAAGCATCCCTCCAAACCCCCAGGCAGATCCCTTGCTTGCCTCGCATCCTGGGGGGCTCAAGAGCTGACCGGCTGGCCACTTTTGAGCCCCCCCAAGGCTGGCAGCGGGCAGCGAAGGAGCATACTCACCTGAGCTCTTCCTGCTCAGCTTCCTCTGCGCCGCTTAATGAAGCCGGGAGCCAGAATATGACGTCAGTCCGGCTCCCGGCATCACTAAGCGCTGCTTACTCAGCCTGTGCGCCCCCTGCCTGCCTGCCCAGCAGCCACACTGGACTGCTGGTAAGAAATCCACTCCAGCTTTCCCAGGGAGGCTGGGTGGATTTAAAATAAATGTAAAAAATATTAGTTTGTGAGTGTTAGTGGAAATGTCTGTGTGTGTGTCTGTGAGTGTTTATTTTGAAGTGAATGTGTGTGTGTGTGTGTCTGTAAGTGTGTGTGTGTGTCTGTAAGTGAATGTGTGTGTGTCTGTGAGTGAATGTGTGTGTTGGTCAGTGAGTGTATATGTGTCAGTCAGTGAGTGTGTATGTGTCAGTCAGTGAGTGTGTATGTGTCGCCAGTGAGTGTGTATGTGTCGCCAGTGAGTGTGTATGTGTCGTCAGTGAGTGTGCGTCTGTCAGTGAGTGAGCGTCTGTCAGTCAAAGTGCGGCCTTGACAGGAAGGGGTGGGGGAAATTTAAACTCGGTTACAGGCATGTACACACACACTCAGTTAAAGGCAGTCACACAGGCACAGGCACAAACAATGGCACAGCTACAGCGACACACACAGACAGACAGTCACATAGGCAGTCACACACACACACAGACACACAGTAACACACACATAGACAGTTATGCACACACAGACACACAGTAACACACACATAGACAGTTATACACACACAGGCAGGCAGTCACACAGATAGAAAGTCACACACACAGGCAGGCAGTCACACACAGACAGATAGTTACAGACAGACACACACAGGCAGGCAGGCAGTCACATACAGGCAGTCACACACACAGGCAGTCACACACACAGACAGACAGTCACACAGACAGTCACACAGACAGACAGTCTCACACACACAGGCAGTCACACAGACAGACAGTCACACAGACAGACAGTCACACACACAGGCAGTCACATACATGGGCAGTCACACAGACAGACAGTCACACACACAGACAGTCACACACAGGCAGGCAGTCACACACAGAGACAGTCACACACAGAGACAGTCACACACACACACAGAGACAGACAGTCACACACACACACACACACAAGGACAGGCAGTCACACAGACAGTCACACACACACACACACAGTCACACACACACAGTCACACAAACAGGCAAACAGTCACACACACACACACACTTACCTCTTTCCAGTGGATGCAGTTGGCTGATGGGGAAGCATCTTTCCCTCTTCCTGTACAGCAGGGGCTTCGGGAGGTATTAGCCCCGTCTCCGCCTCTTGATAAGCCCCGCCTCCGCCGCTCGGTAAACCCCGCCCCCTCTGCCGCGATTTTTTTTTTTTTTTTTTTTTAAATAGACCTGGGTGGAGAACAATTAATCCTCCAGCCAGGTACCTCTTTTAGCTCCCCTGCACTCCGGCCATGAGTGAGCTGTGTCGGCCACAGGGCGCCCCCTGTTCCATGGCGCCCTGTGCGGTCGCACAGCTCGCACACCCCTAAGGCCGGCCCTGGGTGCAGATGGGACCGCGGTCTCTGTACCAAACCCACAGGGATGCTGGATGGCCGGTCTAGATCCCCAACCAACCCTGCAGGAATACCAGGAGGAGGAGGTAGGCGATCCCTCCTCTCCACAACAGATTCGAAACCAGGTCCCGGGGATAGTGGATGAGACTGCAATACCCACTGACCCCCTTCCAACAGAAGAGCTGGCATCAGGGCAGAGCGCTGCTGGCCTCTGCCCTACCTGCCCCTTGTTACAAGGCAGGACTATGTACCAGTCCCCCCCAGCAGAAACACTAGTACCAGGGCAGAGTGCAGTTGGCCTCTGCCCTCCCCTTGTCCTTAATCCAGGACCTGGCAACCCTCTCAAATACCCAGTTGTAACGCTGGCTGCAGGGCAGAGCACCACTGGTCTCTGCCCACCGAGTAACCCCAACGCCAAACTGGAGAGCAACAGAGAGGCCGGGAGTACCAGATGCCCACTTAACAGCTGGGGACATACAGGACTGCAGAAGTCACCAGGTCCAGTACTTGTTTATGGGTGGGCTACTCGACTAACTCAGGTACCGACCGACAGGAAGTCAGGTACCTGGATAGTTTTACCTTGGGGGTGGGGGGGGGGGTGGGAGATATGTGGCAAAAGTAACCTCGCCACTGGTTCTGGGAGGGGCCTGCCTGCCAGCCTCTTGCCCCAGAACTATGGCCCCTGCAATAGACCTAGCTAAAATACTTTTAAAAGTCTCTGTTTGTACAATTGGGACTATGTGGTTTCGGTTACTGAACAACCACACGAACTGGAGACCACCCTAGAGCTTGTTAAGCCTAATTTATACTTTGTAACATTTCCACTGCAGTGTTCTAATTGTTCGTCTGGGTGGCTGCAATTCCAATGGACAACCACAAGGGGGCTGCCATTCTGTTCGCAAGAATGCAGGCAGCGGTGTTTGGGCATGAATCTCATGGAACTAAAATCGGACACAGAAACTCCCAAACACAGCTGGACTTCCATCATCGTCTGCGTTCGGTTCTATACAAGTTAGAAGGGCTCTGTTCGGTGGAATCTTTTGTCTGGATGAGGGGAACAAGCTCCAGAGTAAGAACATTGACTATGTTCGGTAGTTTATTAGTTTTTAAACTACCGAACTAGACCGACCGCAAGCACTGATTCTCTGGAACTATTTTGGGCATGGGACCATGCATGCGGTCGGTCAAATAAATGACTTCCAGGAAATTCCTGAACCCCTGAACTGATCTGGGTGATTTTTGGATATGTTGGTCACCCAGATCAGGGCTACCACGGGATGTAACATTTGTGGGGGTTTTGTATGCTTTAAAGGTATTTTGGAGTTTTATAAAAATGTGTGTTTGGTGTCTGGAGATCATTGAGTTTAGTATAGTGCTTGACTTAATTATCTCCCAGGTACAGAGGAGTGATTAATCTATTATGTGTGGAAGTGTCCTGGATCTGAGAGCCAATGTGGTTGTGTAATTGTTTATACTGTGGTTTACTCTCAGGTCCAGAGAGGAGTGTAAGTAAGTTTCAATAATTTATTAACTGAACAATTCAGGCATAAAAAAATGTCTTAAATAAATATATAAATAAAAAATTTGGGGCAACAATAGGCAAGATGGAAAAATTTGAATATTTACTGTATAGTATTTAACCTATATATTGTTTTTATCTCCATTGTTAATATCTGTTTTCCTGAATAATCCTATAAGCTTTAGTATACATTTTCTTTTCTTTAAGTATGGAAGATTTCACAAATGCGTATCATACTTCCATGGGGTACTGCTAATCTTCTCTCAATTGTTCCAGTTTAAACTATGCCCTGCCGCAATGAGCACTAAGTTTTATTAAACATGTATACTTATATCTAGCAGAATTTATTGGTGCTTTGTAAATGTTGTTGATTCACAATCATATTATTATTTCCAATGACAAAATACAAATAACAGTAACTTTTATACATTTTAATAAATGCACATAACTTGTTCTTTATTTAATTAAATTTGAGAATGAATTCTGCTCCAAGGTCTCTTCAAATTTGTGTTGTATAATCAGTCTACACAAAATATCTATCTATCTATCTATCTATCTATCTGTCCTCAGTTGAGCAGGGTTCTCTTTAACCTATTGTTCCTGTAACATTTTATAATTGTCTCATTTATTGCTAAATTTTCTACTTTTATAGGTGTGCGCACCCTAAAGCACGCACACCGCGTGTATATGTATGTGTGTATATATATATATATATATATATATACATACACACACATACACACACATATATATATATATACACACACACATACATACACTGCTGTGTGTGTGTGTGTGTGCTGCGTGAGGGTGCTTTGAGGGTGTTGTCTGTGTAAGGGTGCTGTGTGTATGTGTGTGTGTAAGGGTGCTGTGTGTGAGGGTGCTGTGTGTGTGTAAGGGTGCTGTGTGTGAGGGTGCTTTTAGTGTGATGTGTGTGTGAGGGTGCTGTTTGTGTGCTGTGTGTGTGTGAGAGGGTGTGTGTGTGTGTGTGTTTGTTAGGGCCCTGTTAGTGTGCTGCGTGAGGGTGGTTTGAGGGTGTTGTCTGTGTAAGGGTGCTGTGTGTGTGTGTGTGTAGGGTGCTGTGTGTGAGGGTGTGTGTGTGTGTGTGTGTGTGTGTAAGGGGTGCTGTGTGTGGGGGTGCTGTGTGTGTGTGTGTGGGGTGCTGTGTGTGTGGGGGTGCTGTTAGTGTGATGTGTGTGTGAGGGTGCTGTTGTGTGCTGTGTGTGTGTGAGAGGTTGTGTGTGTGTGTGTGTGTATGTGTGTTTGTTAGGGTCCTGTTAGTGTGCTGTGTGTGTGAGGGTGCTGTGTGTGTGTGTGTAAGGGTGCTGTGTGTGAGGGTGCTGTTAGTGTGATGTGTGTGAGGGTGCTGTTTGTGTGCTGTGTGTGTGTGAGAGGGTGTTTGTGTGTGTGTGTGTGTTGCTGGTTTGCTGGTTGAGCTCCCCGGGTCATCTCCTGCCTCCCTCCATGCTGCAGTGGGGAGGGAGGCTGAGAGCAGAGCCGGCGCTCGGATAGCGCTGGCTCTGCATAAGCCGACAGGGGAGATCCTGAGATCTCCCCTGCCGGTCTCACTCCATAGGCCTGCCGCGGGATTAGGGTGTGCCCAAGCACACCCGGCACACCCCGTGTGCACGCCTATGTCTACTTTTATAATATTGTAAAGCTCTCCAGATTAAATTGGCGCTTTATAAATATCAATAATAATAATACTATTTATCTATCTATCCTATGTAAAATAATGTGAGCAGGGTCCTCATTAACCTATAGTACCTGTAACATTTTATAATTGTCTCATTTATTGTTAAGTAAATAATACTGTAAAGTGTTGCAGAATAAGTTGGTGCAATATAAATACAAATAATAATATACTGTCTATCTATCTATCTATCTATCTATATATCTATCTCTCTCTAACTACTTACCTACCTATCTGTCTTTCTATCCCTCTCTCTTTATCTGTGTCTGTCTGTCTATTTCAGTAGCTTTGCTAACAGCCGAGTTCTATCCATTTGAACTCAGCACAGAAGGAGTTAAAGAGCCACACACACTGTTTCTTTTCTCTCCACAGAGGGCGCTAGGACCCAGAGCGCTCGTTCTCCCGGTTGTGCGACGTCAGAGGGCTGGACAGATCGCCAGTCTCCTGTGTCCCATCTCACTGTACCTTAAAGGAAAAATGCTGCTGTCTGTCCCTCCAAGGGCAGGGATCGCCTCTTTTAGCTACACCAGGAGCCATAAGAAGGTAAGCCAGCTCCCCACCTCAGCCATGGGCAGCCCTGTGAACACACACACACACACACACACACAGAGACAGACACAGACACACTAGCAGGCCTGTGCCACCCCTAGCAAATGGTTCACAAATGATTTGCCTGGGACTCAGTTTACCCTTGTCCAGGAGCTGCACTGTGCCTGGCTCTAATGACAGTGTGCCCTGTGTGTGTGTGTGTGTGTGTGTACACATGGATTGCTGCATGCCTGTGTGTCTGGCTGTCTGTGTCACCCATCAGGAACTGAATGACACTGATGATTTGTCCCCATGCATGGGGTTTTAACAGCAGGGACAGGATACATGATCATAGGGCTGTATGGTGAGCTATTGGGATAATCAGATTAAGAAGGGCTGTGTGTGTGTGTGTGTGGATTGTCAGTGTGTGTGTGTGTCTGTGTGTGTGGATTGTCAGTGTGTGTGTGTTTGTAGCTAGACCTGGTTTTAGCAGAAGTAACATTGAGAGAGGCACAGAGGAAGGGCATTCAGAGAGAGGCAGGCGCACCCAGAGGCAGACAAGCAGGCAGGGAAGAGACAGACAAGAGACAGCCAGCACAACAAAGCAAATGAACCAAGAAGCAGAAAGTTAAAGAATGTATGCCAGTGTAAAAAAAAATAAAAATAATAACTTGCAAGATAAACAAAAGGTAGGAGAGGTTTGCTCTCAGCACAGGCCAGACTGCCTTATGTGTATGTAATATACAGAAATGATCTCTCTCCATTTTCAAAGTTATTTATATTTCTATATATAGATAAATAATATGGTTTTTTATATATATATATATATATATATATATATATATTTGTGTATTTTTTAGTATATATATATTACAAACAGATAAAGATTAGAGACAGGACACAGGCAGACACAGTTTGTGGAGGTGCGGGTTGCTGGAGAATCTTAGAGAGGCAGGATGTCTGGGGCTAGGGTGGGGGTGGAGGATGCTGCACATCTGGCTGTATCACCAGGCTGGAGCTGTTGCACTGATGTCACACTGGTGGTTATCCTGTGGATCTAGAAGAAAGGGCTACCTGTTGAAGGCTAATGAGTCTCGCCTTCCGCATGCTTTCGTGCAATCTCACTGCATTTAGGCTTTTGTGTTAAAAAAAAAAAAAGAAAGGCAAATTGAAGCGTTGCGCTGTAAGCAAATCTGATCTGTAAATGGGGGTAAAAGGGTGTTTTATCTTAGTGGTTATTTATTAGGAATCGAATTTAGATTTATGCTTTACATGCAACATACTGTAGCATTTAAAAAAAAAAATATGCAATTGCTTTTGAATGAAGATTTTTATGGCATTGTATTTATTTTTATGGCACTGTATTATCAATTATTTTTATTGTATTATGTACATTTATATAATTCCATCATTTTCTTCAGTGTTTCACAGTTATACGGTGATTTTATTTAACAATATGTAATTGGCACATAAAATAGTGTTGACAGACACAGAAGATGAAGAAGGCTTACAATTTTGCTGGAATGGCTGGCAAACAATGGAAATGACCCATTTTGATGTATAATATCAGTGTAACAGTTTCTAACTCTGAAATGGGTTCAAACGTTATATTGGTGACAGAGGAACAAGCAGGGAATGTCTGATAAGAAGATGGCACGTGGTCATCCAATTAGAAATATAAATCCATCTTATGTAGATGCTTAAGTTATTTATTATTAAGTTATTATTCAGTGTGCAAGATTCTGCAGTCAGTTTGCCTTTAGGTAGCCATTAAATTAATACTTGCACGGGGATCAAAATGTTATTCTCACAATAAGGAGTAATAAGGACCTGGCTTCTGGTATTTGACGTGCCCCATGCTACAGTAATTACCAACAGCTGTCACCTCAGAAATGTATTATAATTCAGCGTTTTTATGTGTACTGCCTCAAACACTATTCAAGTCTACTTGCTGCAAAAAAAAACCAAACCTCTATTCCTGACCAAGTCATGTGGTCAGAAGAAACTGGACTTTGATTAAAATGGTACACCAGTATATTAAGACTGGTCTTTCTCAGCAAGAGTGGCATCACGGTTTAAATCCAAGGGCCAAACCCATATTGTTAATTAGCAAAACAGTGATTCCTCACCCATCTGGCCCTTCAGTAGTTACTTATTTTCATTTTTACCAAACACAGAGCGAGTACAGGGGTCAAAGGACAGTGCACAGCATCACGGGTTTATGCCAGAATTGTGAAATAACCGTCAGACCATCACACATTTTCATCAAAATGGAAAGTACTGACATACATACTGACATCATTAGGCTTAATACAAACTTTTTAAATGCTTGAGGGCCAATAAGTGCTAAGTAGCAATACTTGAGAAGATGGTGGAAAGAGGCCTGCAGCTGAGGACCCACTTCTATAAATTCGATAAAGTTGTAAATGACCAAACTATACTATATAAAGATAACTATTTAAGCAGTCTACCTGTAAGGAACAGATTGTAAAAGCTCACGTTCAAATGCAGCCCTTCAGCTGTGTTTAGACTACAACTCTCAATATTCTCTACCATCGTTGGAGAGGCCAAAAACAGCTGAGGAAGCATAGATCGTTTGCGTTAGACTTTATTTATTTATTTTTTTATTATGTACTTTTCCGTTCAGAAAAATGTGGTTTTCTATTTCTTTGTTTAATTATTTATTTTTATTCAGTGTACAAATAATTATGTAATTGTTATTTGGGAACTTTTTCGAATATTTTGTTGGACATTTTGCATGATTATTCCCACATATGTCTTTTGCTACCTTCTGTTTTGCTCCCTGTGGAGCTGGCATGGTAAAATAGCTTCCACAGAAAACAAGAATAAATGAATAAGGTGGACGAATTGCAGCATCAAGATTACGCAATTGTTCCATCCATTTTATTCCATTATGATATTTCAAGATGAATTTGATTCTTGTTATGCAGGGTAGCTTAAGGCTTTTATTCTTGTTTAATGGAACTAGAATCTTGAAGTGATGAAAAGAGTGCTTTATCGGTTTACTAATGTAAATAATTTTATGAACAAAAAAATCTGAAAGCACAGCAAAAATGTTTAAATGTCGTTTTAAAAAAATACATCATTTTGTTTGTGTAAAATAATCACGGGTTTGCTAACTTCTGCATTTTATGAAGTTTCCAGATTTTTATTTTGTAAAAGTATATGGAAAAAAAAAAAGATTTAATGTGTAGGGTCAGTATGATGAAATCGTTAAATAATGAAATACTGAAAAGAACAACATGTTTTTAAATAATGACTTGCTGTTACTGTATATTGGGAAAGTAGAAGCAACAATTGTGGATCTTCCCATTTGTTTTTGTAGCTTTTCACCTTGTACAGAGACTGGTTGCATATTTGCTCGGCCTGCACACGTATGGGCGCTGTTGACAAATTTAGGTTTAGGGGTGTTGCAAAGACCTTAGGGACCTTTAAACTGGTTGTTTAACCCAGCACAAATGGACATTCTAAAAACAAGACAATCCACTTTGATTATCCAGAAGCCCTTAATATTGGTTATGGAATCCACACTAACAAGGACATGTGATAATCTG